CGCAAATTTGCTGAGAGTGCAATCCACACCATCCTCCAGATCATTTATGAAGATATTGAACAAAACCGGCCCCAGGACCGACCCTTGGGGCACTCCACTTGATACCGGCTGCCAACTAGACATGGAGCCATTGATAACTACCCGTTGAGCCCGGGTAGTCCGCTCAGTGGAGGACTTCTAGTAGTCAGGAGTGTCAAAAGGACTCCAGTAATAAAGAATCAGCACACTGACGACTACTACCGACCAGAGAGTGGACAGGAGCACCTCAGGATGTCAAGTGAGGCCATCGCGAGGATGGAGAATGGCAAGGTACCCCACAGCCTGCAGGGCGGGGATTGGTGTAAGAGCTCATCTTTGTTTTCTTTCGAAGGTTCCTAGAGGGGATCAACTTTGGCACACTACTGGAGCAATTAATATTGGTAAAGTGTCTTAAAAGAAACTGCTTAACTAGAGCTGGGCAAATTCTGCAAATATTTATTTGAATGACAGCACTAGACCCGATTTTGTTCTTACTTATGCCTGTTTTACACTGGCACGGCTCCCTAAACTTCCGGTGTAAATGACAGCAGAATCTAACCCCATGAATTTCCTTCCATAGTATTTATATTTGTCTTTCCTGAACATTTTCGGAGGGGTGTTTCTTCTCAAGAACATTTGCGGAAGAAGAGAGTTTCGCAAATACTTGTGCCAACACGTATTGGTGCAACTGCTTGAGCTGAAACTGAAAAGAAGCAGCTGAAGGATTGGAAAATACCCGGTCAAGTCACAGGAACAATAGCAAGTAACTCAGGACATGTGAGCGAATTAGAAATGGTAAATACCAGAAGTCTCAGGAATCTTTAAATTGAAACACATAATTGAACACATAATTTCAGATAATGAAACACATTTGTAAAAATCTAAGTCTGTTCATTTATAATTTGGGAACAGAAGAAGGGGCAAAAGCATTAAAGAAATATTGTTTGTTGTTTTTCTCTGAGTAGTCCACTCAAGTGCTGAATCTCCCAGTAAGGAGCAGTGAGGCGTCTCACCTGACTGGAATCTGAGTGGACATTCACAGGGCAATGCTGTGTAGATATGTATTATTCCTAACGTTGGAAGGGCTATATCTGCTTGATACCAGCTGACGTGAAGCCAAGATCTGTGGGAAGATTCACAATGCTGCTGTGCTAACTGGCACTACCAGTAAGTGGCCATGAAGCTGCTCTAATTGGTTGAGCCAAAAGGAAAGCAGTAGAAAGACCCCCATGTTATTTTGGAAGATGTAGACACTGAAACCTGTTTCACATTTTCAGAGATTGAAGAGCTCTTCTTTCTCTGTGTCTTTCTAGTCTCGGACATCAGTGAATCATCCTCTGCCGCTGGGAGTAAGCCACACACCTAGCCATGGTGAAAGAAGGAATTATCCACACACATCAGAACATAGCCAGTGAGTCCAGGATCTCGTATTTCTTCTGAAACGCTCACCAACAGATGTGAATGTTAGAGCTTCCTGGCTGTTCCAGTCTTAAATGGTGTGGGACAATCCTGTAGTATTTCACTGGTATATACTAGTGACTATCAGTATTCACAGGAACTGTAAAATAGCAAATATTTATGCACTTTATGGGTTAGAGTCTCAGCTGGTATCAACTAGCCTCTAGCCATTGACTTCAGTAAAACTGAAAATTGACTTCCATGGAACTCTATCCTCTATGCCAGGTGAAGGCTGCTCCAAAATATTTGTATTATATTTGCAAATATTTTACAGCAAAATTGGAAATGGATGTAAATTTTGTAATAATTTAAAATGTGTTCTCTAGGGCTAATAGAGTATTGACTTTCCTTGCTGATTAATACCATTACTCAGTCTGTATTCTTAATAATGCAAATCACTGTACTGCTAAAGCGAAATACCCCCTTAAAATTGTTCTCATTTACCCTCTGTCCCCAAGCATAGAGCCTGTAAAGGACAGGGTCTCAATCTGTTGTCTAACTGCATGCCCTACTCTTCCCATTGCCCTGAACCTCTTTTACACAAGTCTGTATTTTCTCTCCCTCCAGCCAGAAGGTCCTTCAACAAGCTGAAAACTAGCAAGCCCAGCAAACTACTCATAGGAGAGTCGAAATTGTGCAAATCCCTGCAGAAGGCCAGGATCACAGCCTTGTTCGCAGACTCCGTATGTTGCTGACTCATCTCCGCAGCTCCCTTTGGACTTTCTATTTCCGCTTGACCTCTCCTCTGTTCGTCAGAGATGCCTCTTCAGCTGAACTTCCCAGGTTTTTGATCAGTGCTCAAGGCAACAATCTCCATTCAGCTACAATTTGTTGTCTCTGGCGGCATCGCCAATCTTTCCTGAGTCAGAGACTCCCTTTCTCCCAGGCCCAACGCCTCTGCTGGCTGAAGGCTGGGGAGTGGTGTAGAAGCCAGTATGGTGGCTCTACACCACCAGAGGATTCTGCCTAAAGGAGGGTAGCTCCTTCAGCAGATGCATACACTGGCTGTGGAATAGCACACTAACATCCCATTATATTTACCACTGCTGCAATCAGTGTTAGCAGCCAATAGAACAAACCCCAGGGAACAGCGCTGGCGAGGTATTTACTCAGGTTCCTTGCCTCTCCCTCCGCATCCCCAAGGCCATTTGGATAGCTTCTAGAAATCAGAAAGATGAGTAAAGTTGTGGCATGTAGACCTTTGTTCTTTTGACAGTCATGTTTCACAAACACTTTAGTACCAAATTCAATTTTTTTTCCAAAATGAGTTAAGAAAATGATCAAAACCATTACTGGCCGTTTTCATCCCCCCAAACCCTGGCTGTCACAGAGGGCTGACATGCTGACCAGGACGTAGCTGCTGCCGAGGCTTGGTGTGGGAGTTTGGCATCTAACTCCCGCCCACCGTCACGAATATCTGTGCTCAAGCAAAACGTTAGTGGCTGCTGTGCTGCTGAATGTGCTGTCCTGCTCTGAACACACCCAAACGTGGCTGGAGAGGATGCTTTCCTCCTGAGGCTCCTGTACTTCACAACCTGAGCATGTGCCATCCGCCAGGGCCTCTGGATGGTGCTAGTGCATGTCACAGACTTGCTCTTTGGTTATCTGCACATACTCCAGCTCTCAGCAATTCAGCCAGGCAGTAAGAGGGCACTCCGTAACCTGGGCTCCCAGCCTGCAGTGCTGATGGATGGCTGAAAGGGTTGGGTGTGTAAACATACACTCATAGTGTGAAATTCAGAGTGCAACGTTCTCCAAGACAGACTCTTGGAATTCGATCTTTAGCTAGGGCCCCAAATCAGGCTGGCTGTGCTTGGTGCAGAATCCAGTTGAGGAGGAGTGGACAAAGTGGTGGCTTAAAGCCCTCCATTTACCCTTCGGTCAGGACTGCACATAGAAGTCGGTTTGAACCCCAGAGTATCTTAAAGCAGCCTCGAGGCCAATCTATGCTGGGTGGCACAGCTCCTAGTGGCTGGAACAGCTCCTGGTGACCACTCGGCTGGTACAGGATTGCAATCCTCTCCAGACATAGTCGCTTCCATCCCAGGCCACCCCCTGACCTACGCCAGCATCTTCCTGTTTTGGAATACGTGACAGCCGCACCTATTCAAAGATGCTTTACCTGTCTGAGCAGAGCAACCCAGACAGCATGGTCCACTGCAAGAAGTCCTCTTAAAAACTAGCTGTACTGGAAAAACACGAGCTGATTCCTATCACTGTGCAGGGTGAGAAGACTGCACCAGCAGATCCTGTGCAGAACAGCTGCATCTTCCCACTAGATGAGCCATACGGATCAGACCTCCACGCCCTGGTGCCCACCCATGATGAACATCACCACTCAATTCCTGAGTGGAAGCGGCAGCTGATGGTGAGGAAGCTGCAGGCTCGACTGGAAGCAGGAGAGGGCAAGGGCAGGATGGAATGGTACTGTGCTGACTGAAGGAGAACTGGCTGTTGTAGGCTGGGTTAGAAAGTCTTTATAGGCTTCTTCTTGCTTTGCTTGTTCCTCTTTGCTTCTTCCCAGCTTACGCCCTAAGTTTCTCTCAGCTACATCAAGTCTTACCTCAGTCTTGAATGCTAATATCATGAGATCATTGCACTCCTGGTTTTCCGTCACTGGTATAATTACCTCAGTGGAATGGCACCAGGGTTCAGCCCACAGTCCCAGGGCAGGGCAGGGTTCAGGCTTTTGTCTATTCTTGAAACTCAGTGCAGACAAGGACCTCAAAAATAATGGATTTTTGGTTCGGGGGCGGGGGGGGGAACGACACCAATATTTCTGAGGAAAAGTCCAGTTCGATTCAACCCAGAATCTTTCTTTCCCCAAACTTTTTTCAAAATGAAAATTAAAGTAAAATGTTTTAGTTGACTTGAGATGTTCAGGTCAATTTGAAATTTTTTTCTTTGTGTTTTGAATCAGCCATTTTTGAAGTGTTTCACCCTTTTTTGGTGTGTTTGTTTTTTATCATCCAAATGTCAGTTCAAATGGCCATTTCTAATTGAAGAGTTGAAATGAAACATTTTGAAAGAAAACGGTCACAAACAAACTTTTCAACTCGGAAAAAAAGTTTGACCAAAATCTTTCACTTAATTTGACCCAAACTTGAGAAATAGGTTTCAGGACCCGAAAATGCTTATTTCAGTGAAAAAAACTATTGGTCAAAACCATGCTGTTCAGCTTCAGTGCAGACCCAATGAAAGCTACGTGGTGCCAGAGCAAGGACTGTGCACTCAGACAATGTCAATGACTTTCAAGCCAACATGGCCCTTAGACCAATAGACACAGAGACCTTCTCAAAGCAAGGGGGAGCCCTGGACCCGTGTGTTAGGGAGGCGGACCCATCTCCATTTTTTAGAAGTCACTACCTCTCTAATCACCAATCGCAGAAGCAGTGGGAGCCAAATCCTGTGCAAGTTCATCATATTGCTGGGATGTCAGTGCCTTTGTATCACACCAGTGTGTATGTGGGCTGTGTGTGGGTGGGTGATCTGAAAACCTGGCTCTAGAAGATTACATTAATGACCTTCTGTAATCTCTCAATTTCTGTCTCCCGCATACAGAGCAATGGAGGCAGTTCAGTTGAGATGTGGGACTGGAGGTATTTGCAGGCCCACAATGGTATCCTGGGCCCCTTCGGGGAGTTGCTGACTGAGGGCGACCTACTTTACTTGGAGAAGTAGATTGAGAATCTGTAGCTGAGGAACAGGTGTCAAGAGTGTGAGAGAGAGCTGGGGTGCCTGGTGGAGGAGCTGCAGACCATCCTGCCTGCCCCCATTGTCCATATCACCGTCAACAGCCAGCTCCTGCACCAGGATGGCCAGGCGCTTCCTATCTGGTGCAGCCGAATCTCTGGCATGGTGAAAGGATGTCCGTGCTGCTCACTAATGTAAACGGCCTGAGGAAGGAGGCGGAGATGCCATCCCCTAAAGAATCATCCGGGCCTAGTGAGGGTAAGTGTCCAGGTGGGGGAGAGCAGAGAGAGAGATTCTGGAGTATGGCGTCTCTGACAGGAAGCAGAGAGGTAATTTTGAGAAACATATTCTCCCAGAACAAAGAATGGCCTTGGAGCTAAGAATGGCCTTGGGAACACTCAGGAGGGTGCTGGTCAGGCGAGGATGTTGCTTCTCAAAATCAGTGGAGCAGCAGTAAGAGCAAGAGAAAACTAGTCTGTGAAGAGCATGCGTTTGGCGAGATGAAAAATGCCAGTGACCCTGGGATCAGCTGCAAAGAGGAAACCTTCAGATGTGAGCAGGTTTCTTGTTCCAGTGGCAGAGTCCGCTAGCCTCAGGAAAGAACGAATAGTGATGCTGTTTCTGTGCCACTGGAAGAAATCTGCTTCCTTGAAAATCACAGCCAGGAAAAAGCTTGAGTCCCAGAGAGTCAGGAAAATAGGAGAGGTGGAGGCAGCTCTAGCGGTCAGAAAGGAACAGATTCCCGAGGAGAAGCCGGTGGTGGAAATGAGAAAACTGAGCTATTTAATTCACCAAAGGAGCACCATCAAGAACCTGATTGGCAACAGGAAGGACATCACCTCTCAGGTGCCCTCACGACAAATCCGCAGCCTGAACCGCCAGCAGGCTATCTATTCCCTGAAGCAGTTCCTGCCCCACGTCAATGGAGTGCCCACCGATTACAACAGCCTGACTCTTGACCTCTTTATGCTTGGCGACTTCCACATCCTGGAACTGGACCTTCCTCAGGAGGAACGCAAGATGAGGCACCTCCTCTGCTTCGAGGTGAACGACCACTTGGGCAGACGCTGCTGGGAGACCCTGCGAGCCTTCCACAAGGCAGTGACTGATGAAATCAGTGGTGGCAAGCGCGGCTGGAAAGATAGCTTTGAAGACATTAAGATCATGTTTTTTGGTAACGCCAAGGACCTAGCCTGGGAGCTGGAACCAAGTAGAGCATCAGCGGAAAGCTCTCTAAAGCCAGTGTCCAGCGTTTGGGTTCAGAGTGCTGCTCTTGAGCAAGGTGGACATGATCCAGGAAACTGTTCTGAGCTAGGCAGCTTCAACAATGATGAGATCTGCAGATACGTTGACCGCAGCTTTGCCTTCTGGAAAGAGAAAGAAGCTGAGATCTTCAACTTCAACTTTGAGGAGTAAGCTCCTTTGGCCATGTTGGAACTGCCTTCCCTTGGCCTTGTGTGAATGGGAGCTTGGGGGCTGTATTGCACCTGGGATGCTGGTTCTTCCCCCTCCCCATCTCTCAAATATGTCAAGGAATAGACCTTGAAGAGCTCAGAAATTTTTCTGATGGAGAGATTTCTGAATAGATTTTGGAACTAGCAGGAAGATTTTCCAAGGCACAAAGAGGGAATTAGGTAGCCGACTCCCATTGTGCCTTTGACAATCTACTCCAAGGCTCTTCCCCTCAGCCTTTTCAACTGTTAAGATGCCTCTTCTTTTCAAGCAAGCTGCCATTTCTTCAACAAGACAGCTCACCACCTATCCCCTCCACCCCAGCCCACCCAGCTATTCTATCTCTGGCAGGAGAATCTCCTGTGATTCTTTGTCTGCATAGCATGACTTTGAACGCTATGGAAAGCCCCAGATGGAGCTGAACCTGCCAATGGGCTGCCCTCTGCACAAACACTCACAGACCCTAGTACCATGGGATGGCTTTGAGGATACAGGGAGTATCAAAGGACAAATTCAGCTGCAACCGGCAATGCCAGCTAAGGAAATGATTGGCAGCAGTAAAAGGCCAGCAGCCTCATGCTAGGCTCTGCATATGTCACCCCTGCCATCTCCTGGCCAGTGCAGAGACTGACATGGACTGCACAGGCCGGATTCTGGACTGAGGAAAAGTCTTGTGAGGAGACTTGTGGGACATTAAAACCGAGAAATTCTCTGGCTTGGGGTGGATCTGTGGTGGTCAGCAGGCAGGGGCAGGGAATTCCAGAGATGAAGGGGAGGGAGTGGCTCAGGTCATCTCTGGCTTGTACTTGGTGCATCATGGTTGGGCTCAAGAAGGAGCTTCCCCCACCTTTTAGTGACTGGATCGTGCATCATCTCAAGAAGGGCCCCCCCAAAGGGGGAAAGTAAATGTCAGGTGTGCCACAAGTCAGACACCAGAGCTGGGCAAACCTTATAAATAAGGCACTGGAACGGTGATTGTGAGCCAATGCCTGATTGTCTGAGCCTGATTGTCCTCTCACTTATATGTAACTGCAGTGACTTTGGTGGGGTGACTCCTGATTTACTCGAGAGAGAGAGAGGAGAAAGCTGGTACTTCATGACCATTTCACCTCGATAGCCTGCATGAGCTGGAGGGTTCCATAAAGATCAAAAATCCCCAGCGATCACCTAAGTGATTTATAACGTTCAAAAGTAGGTAAATAGTTAACAGAAAACACTACCGATTTACTAAAATTCTCCAAAAGAAATAAGCTCTCTTCCTTGGTACTTCATCTCCTGTTACGATTACATACCGAATCATATATTTCATTTTATAATTGTTTATTTTTAAAAAGCGCATACTTTTTCTTTGTCTAAAGTTTTAAAGAGATCTTTTAAAGATTTTTGCGTGGGCTGAGGCTTAATAAACAAGTTTTCTGTCTCATTGAGATCATCTCTGTTTTTCTTGGCAATTCATTAAATTGGGTTAATTACCTTGGGAATAATTCATCAAAGGGTTGAGCACATTCTGCACCACCTGGCATCTTTAGGGACTGGAAGTCTTCCGAAAGGATATAATTGAGTCCAAACCCAAGGTCTGGGTGAAGTTCTCTGGCCTGTGTTATGCAGGAGGTCAGACTAGATAATTACAATGGCCTTAGACTCTCTGGATCTATGAAATTCTGAGGTTTCACTGTTACAGCCCAGGGATGAGAGAGGAAAAAGCTGCACATGTGTACTGGAAAATGAGTAGATATCCTTGAGCATCCAGAAGAGTCCCAAAGGTAAGTAGGCAGGGTGTCTACTCCCCAGACAGCTCTGTGTATGCTGAGGAAGCAGCACTTGATAGTGCTCTCAGTCTTATCAGTCCACTGTACCCTGCTACATGTGACCCTAGAATCAGGTTCCCGGCTGCTGGTGAGAAAGCTACAGATCTCGGTTCCAGCGTCACTTCTGTCTTTATTTATTTGTGGGCATTCCTGTGGGAGAAGTATGGAGGCATTTAAAGGCCTTCTAGCTAAGGAGCAAGATAAGTAGCATATCATACTATATTTAGCCAAGAATAATGCGAACTGTAGATAGGAGAGGAAAAATATATTCACTGGGTTATTAACTGTTTAGTTATTGACTCGTTAGAATCAGGGGAATAGATTGTGTTGAAAGGGATCATTCTCTTGCTCCCCTGCATACAGATTCAAATCACTGATCTGCTGAGCTATTTTGAATTGAATGATGCTTTTTCTTCTATGTCCTCTGCATATTCTCACTTGTGGGATGTGCCTATCGGTGCAGGTACCTTGGACTATGAAGAGTCCATCTTGAAGAACTCCAGTTAGAGGTAAGTAACCTCCATTTAACAGAGCTGACCCAGAGATCCAGGCCACCCCTTATCTGTATTTCAGTGCAGAGAAACAAATACAGTTTGGGGACTGGAGGAACTAAAGCGCGAGACTCCAGGCTGTGTGGCAGTGGCAGCATTGCTGTTGTTGTGAGTACCCTTGTTAGAAACAGGAGATAAGTGTCCTCCGGTTTCTGTGCCACTCATGACAAGCCTGGAGCTGCAATGAGCTCATTCAGCAGTCTATTACTGGAGTCAGGAGCATAGAGCCATTTGCAACACCAATTAAGTCAAGACAAAAATCTCTTTGCTGTGTCACAGAGCACTCCAGTTGGGGTGCCATCAAGTTTTAGAGACTCAGAACATTTAGATAGATCAACCAGCAAAGATCATCAAGCTATTACCAGCAGGACAGTGGGGTGGGAGGAGGTATTGTTTCATATTCTCTGTGTGTATATAAAGTCTGCTGCAGTTTCCACGGTAAACATCTGATGAAGTGAGCTGTAGCTCACGAAAGCTCATGCTCAAATAAATTGGTTAGTCTCTAAGGTGCCACAAGTACTCCTTTTCTTTTTGCGAATACAGACTAACACGGCTGTTCCTCTGAAACCAAGCTCAACCCCCAAGTCCCAAAAGTAGGGCTGTGTCCAGGGACACAGCATCCAGATGGAATAGTGGCTTGTGCGCTGGGTAGGTCCTTGGGAGCACATAAGAGGATGAAACCCCAGGCTAGAGGTGTTGCAGAGATTACCACTGAGGCTTCCCACAGGGTCCTGCTCTACCTCCTATTCTGTTCTGGGGTGGAAAGGCTGGGAGGAGAGCTAGGAAGAAGCAGGGAGATGGGGTATTTTCAGAGTGCTGACGTCACAGCTCTGTCTGTCCATTTTGTCCCACCCAGCTGAAGGGATTGAGTGATTGGTCCATGGATAAAAACACACAGGTGAAAGCTCAATCCAGAGGAGTATGCCGTGATGTTCGCAATTTGGAGGAGCTGCCACACTACATGGTAAAGATTCTGTTGGCCCTAATGTAGAGGAGTGTCTGCTGTTTGCCACCTGAGTTTGATATGTGATGGGCTTGTTAGACGTCCAGCTGCTGTTAGGGAATCGTGGCGGTTCAAATACAAGACAGCACAGAGCTTTTAGCAAGCAAGCGAGCTGGTCTGCCAACCGACTTCTGCCTGTCAGCTTTCCACTCTCTCCTTTATTCTTTTCTCTCCCCCCGCGCATTACATTCTCCAACAGATAAAAGGAATACACTGGCTTTGTTTAACATTCTTATTTACCAATTTCTATCTACCGCATTCCTTGCTCTCGGGCCTTGAGCCCAGTCCTGGGAGGCTTCCCACGGTTCATGTCATCTGGGCGAGATTCCAAGGTTCATGCCCTTGAGAAGAGCTGTGTGTGCACAGCTCCTATACAACACTCTGGGTGTGCCCTGAATGTTGCCAAGCGCATGAACCTTGTATGAATCCTACATCCCCTCCTTTTTTGTTTATTTGTGCTCGGCCATCTCATGGTAGCCATCAATTTGCTTTTGCAAGCCAATTAACTCTCGGACAGACGAGGTCATAACTCGTGGAGCCTGCCAGGGCGGGTCTTGACAAAGCCTTAACGAAAAGAAAATACATTGCACACAGCAACAGCAAAAAATGAGCTTAAGAAGGTAAAGTGTAATTGGCCGGGCCCCAATTAGCCATGCTAGAGTACTGGGAAGAGAGGTTCGCGTAAGCAGCGAGCACCATCTCATTCCCAATTTCCTCAGGGTGATGACATACTGGAATAAGGCACGTACCTAACAGTTCCCCGGCTGCTACAGAATCAGATAAACAAAAGTGGGTAACATTTGCTATTGAAGCCAATCTTTCCCATAGGTTATATGTCATTCGGGCCCGTAATGGAGAAAGCACTCCCGAGCCAACCCCTACAGGAAATAGCAGGCACAAAAGGCATACAGTCAATACAGAATTAGCAGTAATTTGGGTGAGAATTGCCACAAACAAAGTCTCAGCAGTCTCTGGCTGTTGGTTTGCTGCCAGTCTTCGTTGAGCTGCAGCGACCAATGCTTTTACTGCTCCCCATGTCACGGGCTGGCTTGGGACGCTACGCCTCCTCCGTTTCCATCCCACCGTTGTCGACCCGGGAGGCACCGCGTTCTTCTCCAAGATCAGCTGAAACTCCGGTATGGGGGTTCGATAGCCCCTGGTGCCACACCATACTGTTTCAGTGCCGGTCGCACACACCGGGCCGGAACCCACAACGGTCCTGCAGGGAGAGACACAGCAGCATATCCCCGACCCCAAGTGATTAGAGGTACTGGGCCCAGCCATTGCGGATCGGGCAGCTAACGGTAATAGACACGCAGTCGTTCCAGTACCTCGGACTTATGAAAATGCCAATCCGTGGGGGTCTGCTGATCTGTATTCAATGTTAAATTATTTAAAGTAAACAAAAGGATATGCCTTTGTTGCTGAATGTCTCCTAAGGTTGGGAGACACAGCTCCCCTTGTTTTAATTGTTTGTCGAGCACGGTTTTTAGCGTGCAATTTGCACGTTCAACAATAGCGTGGCCTGTGGAATTATAAGGGATCCCGTGTTTGAGACGGACGTCCCATTGGGCACAAAAGGTGGAGAGGGCTGTGGAGCAATAGGCTGGGGCATTATCCGTTTTTATCTGGCTCGGGCGACCCATAACAGCAAAACAGGCTAGCAAATGGTGAATAACTTTGGGAGTGGCTTCCCCACGCTGTGGGGTCGCCCAGAGAAATCCCGAATAGGTATCAATGGAAACATGTAAAAACGAATAGGGGCGGAATTGTGGCACGTGAGTGACATCCATTTGCCAAAGCTGATTCGCTGAGGTACCTCTGGGGTTAACGGCATAAGAAAAGGTAGGGGCAGCAGCAGCACAGTGGGGGCAGGAACGAACAATAGAACGTGCATGATCAGCAGGAATGTAAAACAGTCGGGCCAAGACAGAGGCAGACTGATGAAAAAAGGAATGGCTTTCAATGGGGTCAGAAAAAAGGGAATTTACCTGACCACATAACACGCGATCAGCGCTCACATTGCCTTCAGTAAGTAGCCCAGGCAGAGGGGTATGACTGCGAATATGAGCAACAAAATAAGGGAAATTACGAGTGGTGATGAGATACTGTAAGGACAAAAACAGGTGAAGAAGGTCCGCATTGACCTGAGGGGTAATGAGGGCTAGGGGTAAATGATCAATTATCTGATAAACATAATGCGTGTCCATGATCAAATTAAAGGGACAATCAGCAAAAAGTTGAAAGGCCAAAATAACAGCAGCTAGTTCCAAGGACTAGTGAAGCTCTCCAAGCGCTGTGCATGCAAATATTGTTGTACAGGTGAATGAAGCGCTTTCAGCTTTTCTAGGGTGAGGGGCCACTGGTCAATCTATACGGGCTCTAAGGATTGCCATACCAATGGTAATGAGGATGGCAAGGTGGGTGAGGGAGAATTTCAGGCCGTTATATATTAATATCGAGGGTGGCGTCCAGCTTTACAAGTAAGTCACGGCCTCAAATATTGAGGTGGACAGGGAGTACAAAAGGGCGGATTGTAGCAAGGGCACGGCCTCCTGGTTTAGAGACCCTGACCCAAGACAAACTTTGGCGCCTGGGTTTGCTACCCCCGATCCCCCACAACTCTTTAGAAGGAACTGTTGGCCAACCGACCAGCCACTCCGGATCACAAATCACCGTAACGTCAGCTCCAGTGTCCACCAGCCCTGTAAAAGGAACATTATTTAAGAGAAGTGTTAACTGAGGTTTTGAGGGGTGGTCCGACATTGTTAGAGCAACAAGTGGAGAGGACGTGTTGTGAGATGGTGACTGAGCCAGCGTCGATCCAAAGCCGCCTCCGCCCCGGGCTCGATCCTCTGCAGCTGGCACCTGATAGGGGACTAAAATCAATTGCGCAATTGACCATCCACGCGGGAGCAACTGCGGAAGATGGGT